TTGTCAAGTAATCTTTCATTTTGACTTTAAGTGTTTTGTGGTTCAGTTGCCACTTTCCCATTTGGGTGTCTCTGGCCCCAGGATTACAAACATGGCTACACGTATGGACTGCATGTCCTTGTGTGCAAAACTCCAGCACAGTGGCTCTATCATCATCAGCCCTTCCATCCAGACCTGTCTGCAATAGGGTGGCACAAGTTTAACAGGATCCTGTGTGTAACTTCGTGTTCATTAACTGTTTGTTAAGGAAAGCATGGAACAGTTTTGGGTATATTGCTAGTAGTCTTTCTACCATTAAACCACTTTATCAGAAAGTACAATGAGAGGCCAACAAGGACTGGTAGTGGAGTTTCAAATCCACACAGATCACAAGTGTTTAAACTCTGGGTTCCTCAGTTCAGAGATTCCAAAGAGGATAAAACTCACATCTTTATCCAAGACCCATTTTTCAACCTCAGGAAAGCTGAACAAATTATTTTCAAGTTGAATATAGGGCCTTTGACTCAAGAAAAGATCCAGATCTTCTGTTTTGTTTCTAAGATAATCTATTCCTTGACTTTGTACATCTTTTTTACAAGTAAACAATGCAAAATGAGTAGTCAGTGTCAGCATTCTTCCTAAACTTGGTTACTTTTCTGAAGCTTAAATAATTTCTGAAGCATAAAGATTAAGATTTTCAAATTCATAATTCTCAGATGTTTGCTAGATTAAGAATGAATCTTAAATTGGAAAGGGATGAAATGAAATTTTCTTTAGAGTTCAAAATACTTGCATTTTTGAATGTTACGCAACCACAAAATATATAAAGAATTCTCTATTTTCCAATTTGAAACAACTTAACAGTATACAACTCTTTGCAGATGTCAATCTAAATGTGTCAGCCAGATGGTTTTTTTCCTTAACAGAGTTCAAGTCAAATGTTTTATGATGGACCACCCATGAAAAATAATTAGACAATTAAAAAAAAAATAAAAATTAGGTCTGCTGTAGCTGAGAAAACAATGCATCTTTGCATCTTAAAACATAACAAGAGGAAACAGAGGGTGAATTGAATACCTGTGTGAGACAATGATATGTCACAGTCACTTCCCAGTAAATGAAATATATAAATTAGAATATCAGCAAGAAATTAAAATGGAGATTGCAGGACATAGAGAAAAGAGAACACATAAAAGCTCTGCTTACCTTGGAAATTAAAATTAGAAATTTTTTAATCTTTTCTAACTTCAGCCTAGAAGCTGATGTTGATGGGAGTCAAGGACATTAACTACTTGAGCTCTTACAATTTAGGTGATTTTTTTTCTTTTCCATGAAACTAGCTATCAGCACAAAAAACTCAGTTAAAAATATCATTAACAGAAGTTTCCACTTCTGTGGGCAAGACAACATCTTTCCTCTTGTAATACAAGTGCTGAATGCTGAAGGACACACAGGAATGTCAGTTAGAAATTTCCCCCACTCCCAAATCCAGTCTCTTGTTATTGCAATAATCACATTTTGTAATGCCCAATGCAAACAAAAATGTTATATGTGATATTGACTGAGAACAGTTAGCTTTCTAATCTACCATGTCTGCATTTGTACATAGGACACTAAATAAATATGCACTATGGAAAAAGAGTGAGGATAATATAAATACTTTGGATCTACTTGCCTTATTTGCTGGGGAATGGCTGTCTTTGCATTTGATTGCACAAATAAACTGTACCAAAACATTCTGGATGAATAAGAACTAATTAAACTTCTGCTCTTTGGATGATTTATCTCAAAAAGACATTTGAAGGGCAACATCTATCATTATGACACATACAAAAATAGTATACCTAAAGGTCACAAAAGGTAATTTAACACTTCACTCTTTCAGAATTCCATACTTGAAACCACGTTACTAACTGTATGCTACAATTAGAATATGGAACTTACAGTTGCACTAAACAGGTAAGTTATAAACTAACATAAATCATTGTATCAGTATAAAATAAACTGACTGCAACAGTTAGAAAAGGGAACTGCAATAAAGGTTTTTTTGGAGCTACTGAAGGAAGATGCAAGCTTTGTCAACATGATGCAATAGCTTATAAAAAGGTTTTGTTGCTTACATTTTCCCTCCCTTGATGTGGTCAGCAAATAACAGAGCCTAAGCCTCAGTTATCAAAGAATCTTCAAAACCTCAAAAGTGAAATGCTGCTGTACTCTGAAGCCAAGATTGTCATGGTCTGATTGGATCTCTCTAATTTACAGGACAACATGGTCTGTAAATTATTTTATGAGCTCATTAGGAAAGGAAAGAAACACACACATCAAACAAAGACTCACTCTCCTTCAGACAAACGAGACTAACATGAGAATTCACTAATTCATTCCTTAATTCATGAGGTTTTTAATTCAAAAGTTGTCTAAATCATAACTTAAAAGATGTAAGCAAAGTACTCCCAGAGCTGCTGGGGAGAGTGCTCATCCTTTCTCCTCTGTCGCAGTGCAGGCCTCCCATGTATCCCATCAGGAAGCATGAAAACCTCAGCAGATTGGCGGATGCTGGATATGCTTCAGAGGTGCTTCTGGGCAAGCTGTCATGTTTACGACTTACAGTTTGAAGTTTGGTCTACACGATTCCTGCAAGTCAGTGCACTCTGAAGGAACTGACAATCAGTAGGAAGGATTATGTCTGTAGCAGACAAGTAACGTCTTTGTAATGACCTGAGCCCTTCCTGTAGGCTTCCTACATGTTGCTCTCTCTTGGATCTCACAGCACTGGTCCCAACATCTTTGTATGAGCTGTGTGTTAGCTAAAACCTGAGCAGGAGCTGAGTGAACAGACACATGACAGAAAGAAAAGCCTAAATGTGTTTCATGAAATGGAAGGAGATATGGTCAGGTACCAGTTTGGAGACTGCTTCTACAGAATGTATAATGTTTTTTAATTTAATATTTTAAATATATTAGTTCATATGAAAGTTGCTAACTGCAGTACAGTAGGAGCTTCTGTCACAGTAGGTAAGTTTTATCAATGAAAATATAAATTACCTGGAGGCAGGTAACAATCAGATGTTCCTCCCAGTGTCTAGATAAGCTGTGGAAATGCATGTCTCTGTGAATACCAACAGCTTAGAAAGTATTCAAAAGGTGAGGCATTATGCCCAAGGGCCCCACTGGAAAGGTTGGTGCTAATGGAAAAGAAACTAGTCTTTGAGGCACTGATTGTTTAGAAGGTGAGGAACAATCTGAGGAGCTTAGTCAGTCATATCCTCCTACAACCATTTGCTTTCAGCCACTGATGGATGAATGGAGAAGGAAATTGAAACTTGGTCTGAAACAGGATTCCATAGGAGTGTATCCAATTAAACAGCAGAGAAAATATCTTGTCTATTATATTACTTTTGCTGAATCTATGTTTCCTTTCTCGTTGTCTTCAAGGAAGATAGTGAATGAAACAGAATACGAAAAAACACTGATTTATAGGAGCAGAAGTGACAAAGGAACAAGAGAAACATAAAGCTCTTTGGGAGAAAGATAAAAAGCTGAACAGGCTTCTGGAGAGCTTTAGCTTCACTTCCACTCATAGAAAAAACATCAAAGGTAGAAGAGACAAGCATTCAAGATTAGATTTAAGACAGTGTAGTGGTGAATCAGCTGTACTAGAAAGCATATGCATTTTCACTTTTCTTGTTTCATCCTTTTTTCATTTTTTTTTTTTCCTTTTTTTTTTTTCTCCTTTTTTCAGACTTTTTTTTTTTTTTTTTTTTTTTTGTTAAGGCATGGATTTTGTCAAGCCTTACTCTTCATTAGTCTGTTTGCTAACAATTAGCACAAGTCTTCCAAGAGAAAACTGGGAAGTTTTGCAAAATTTTAGTGCAATTTATATGAGCTGGTCCTGGAGCCAGGAAAAAGGCAATTAGATTCCTGCTTTGTGGAGATGATGACAGATTGAGCTCTGCATCCTGAGAACTTAGCCAAGGACACAGAGAAACAGTACCAGAACCCAGGGTCTGAGAGCTGGCAGGTTATCTTTCATCAATTTGATGACTAACTGGGAAATGTTGCTTGGCTTGGTTTCCTCATGGCTCAGAGCCCACTTCAGGATGAAAACAGACTCCACTGTGGTAATAAAGACTGGGTACTTACCAGGCAGGTAATAAAAGTAAGGTTTTGTTCATCACCAAATCACTGAGCAATTCTTGCAGAAAGGGGCCTTTGGAGGTCACTGGTTGCTCCTCACCAACTCTACCAAAACAGTCAACTTCAAATTTGATCCAGCTTCAGGGACAGAATTGTTGAGACTCTTCTCCAACCAAAGATTGAAGATCCCCAGGATTAGGGTTGCCATAGTCTCACACCTCCCCTGTTTAATTAAACTCAGGGTGTGATTTTTTTTCCTTTCCTTATATTGCATTGGAACTCCACATGTTCCCTATGTGCTTTTCATCTTTGTGCATCTCTGAGAAGAGTCCTGCTTCCTCTTCTCTATGCTCTCACATCAGGTAGCTGAACATAGCAACTTCCCTTTTTCTCACCACCATAAACTAACCCATTTCTTTATCCCTCCCCATGATCATATTCGTAGTTCTCCACTGAACTAATTCCAATAGGTTAATACCTTTCCTGCACAGGGAAGCTCAAAATGTGATGCTATGCTCTAGCACTGACAGAAGGGAATTAAGATGTCCCCTAGCTGCCGGCTACATTCTCACTTATATAGAACAACAACGGGTTGGTTTTCTTCACCTAGAGAGAAAATGGCAACTCTTGTCCTAATTATTGTCCAGAAAGATGCCTAGATGTTTTCCCCATGAAAATGCTTTCCATCTGGTCATGGCCCTGAATGCAATACTCCTGAATGCAGCTGTTCCACCCCAACTGGAGAACTCTGCAATAACTGAAATTCATGAAATCTTTATTCACACATTTTTTCAGCCTGTCAAGATCCTTCTACCTGACAGCCCTGCACTCCAGTTGATCCTCACTCTCTACTCTGGTTTGATACATTAAGAGTGAACAAGAAATAGAGATTTTGTTGTATTTATGAGGTTTTCTTTTTTACTCTTTCCATTTCTATATGGACGTACATGTTAAAGGCAAAAAATGTTATGCCTATACAGATATATAATAGCATTCAGCAGAATTTGTCATCCGGACAAACATGAAACCAGAATTCAGTATACTCCACAAGACTGATTAATTTTGGATGTCCCCGCTGCCATGATCCCTTACAAGGAATTCAGTTCTTTTCAATTTCTTTCAAGGAAGGAGGCAATGTTTTTCTCCTGCACTAGAAGTATATTCTAGACAAAGAATATTTTTAAAAAATTTACTAATATTTCACATATAATTGTTGGGAATGAGAGAGTGGGGAAAGACTGAAATAAGATTCCCAACAGATCAAGAATAAGAAATACTGAATTATTCAAAGATTAAGCTCACAGTTAGCAACAGCTCATTAAAGAAAGTACACAATTCATCACTAGGACTCTGAGTCCATAAGCCAGATTCTGCTACAGAGGTTTTTTGCAGTGTGCAAAGCTGTGTGCACTATACCCAAGGACCCCAAACCCCAGTTGCTGCTGGATCACAGGCAGGATCCTCATCAGGGTAGAACACAGGCACTGAACGTTTGTGATAATACTGAAGCCGTGAGAGTAGTTTTTCCACTATATGAGGGTATTTTTCAGACACATCATTTTTCTCTTCAGGGTCATGAACAATATCAAACAGCCAAAGTCTCTTTGTTGATGGATCAGATGACTGAATCTGTGACTCATTGTACAAAGACGGTGGAGGGAACCAATGACTGCAGCCTGCAGGAACAGGAACAGACCAAGGGTCAATTCTGAGATACAGAGCAGCAGTGTGGAGACACAGTTTTACTATAATTGATGAATTCACTAGATCTCTTGACAAGCCCCTGCAAAGCAATGGTTGCTGCAGACCTTAACTCTAGCCCCACACCAGAGTCTCTCTAAATAGGAGTCTCATTTTTGCAAAAAAACCACTGGACCACTGATATTCAAAATTCCATGTAACTTTATTTCATGTCAATTAATTAACTCAATGGCCCTTCTTCTTGGATTCTATGATCCTTATGGATCCCTTCCAACTTGAGATATTCTGTAACAGTTTTTTCCCTACAGTTTAAGTAAGTTGCAGACAAAATATTTGGAAAATGAAAAAAATACATAGTTTGGATTTTAGAAGTGCTCATTCCAGATCTTTGCTTGTGGTCAAAATCTAAGAAGCTAGCACAATTACTAAAAAAAATTAAAACATATGAAACAAAATTAAACTGTGTTTGTGGTGAGTGGAAGATAGGATACACTGTACAAAAAAATGAGTTATTTTGTTACCTGGATATCCAGTTAGTAACTTCCATTTTCCATGTCTTATTGCTGCATGTATGGATATATTGAAAAGTGCATCATCCCATGGAGAAGAATTGCTCTGTCGTAAAGATGTCCTCTTATCAATGCCAAGACCTTAATCAAACAATAAACTAAGTTAGGTGCATTGCATATTCATGAGGTTTTTTAGAACTCTGTTGGAAAACAAAGCAGTATCACCCATTTATTTTTCCCTAGTGGATAAATAATTTTTTGTATATAAATGCAAAGATCTGTGCTATGATTCAATGGATGTATTTAACTGTGAATTTGAACTGCTTTTTAAAAACATACCAGTGGAATGGTAAGTAAAATGTCACAGATAACTGGACTCAGCTGTGACATTTTGTACACAGATATTATTTTGCACACAGATAGTATATGTGTGTCTCATATACCTGTATTAAGAACGCTCAAAATTGGAATTGCTAAATTTGGTCATACAAGTGCCTGTATCTTTTTCCAGGTAGGAATGCAGGATCGAAAGATTTCCTGAAGTCAGTGCTACTACTGTTAATTCTCTTAGGTCGCTACAGGGAACAAGTCCCAGGTTCTGACCACAACAGAGAGCTGTTCCTTTGGGCTGAGCTGGCTGTGTCCACAAAAATCCACATCTGGTCAGCAAGCTTCTTCTTTGGCATATCTTCATACTGTCTTTGGAGGAACTGTGTATGATGTGGCCCCATATTCAGATACTATTGAAAACTGAAATGTCAACTATGCACACATTCCCTCTCAAAAGGAAACCTGAAGCTCCTTATAGGAGGGAGCTCAGGAAAAGTAATTAAAATGCATTGACTAGGGATGATTAGGAGAGCACTTTGTTATTGAAACCAACAGGGAGGAAGCAAGTCAGACTGACAGCCCAGGAGCATCCAAACCAACTTTGACATCAGCCTTCATAAATAAAATAGGCATTCAAGACATAACATCTAAAAATTTTTTATTAACTATCAGCTGATAGCAGTTTACCAATGACTACCAGAAGGCAACTTTAATCAGACCAGAAGACACCTTAGAAGATGGAGAGAAACCAGTGTTGATTTTCTAGCTTCTTTCCAAAAGAAATGGTTTTCAATCATTTAGGGAATCTGAAGGACTCTGCTGTCAGATTTTTGGATGAGAACCCAAGAGCATCCAAGGGTGATGTAAGAGCTAACAGGAAGCAGAACTAGGTATTTCTAAAAAGAGTAAATTCTACAGAACACAGTGGGGCAAATACACATGGAAAGAAGAACAGAAATTCGGGAAAATAAATGCTAGACATAAATTCTCCATTTTTTATGACGGACTTGCCGAGTTTTTATTTTCTTTCAGGACTGTACACTTTATTTTCTTTAATAAACAGATTTGTGCATACCCAAGTTCCTCATCTACATCAGACTTGTATAATGTTCCCAGATTACAAGGATATAGGATAAGGAATAAGGATATAAAAGAGGCTACTTTCTGGAGTATGCATACACAGACTGGGGAGGACTCAGCTCATCTTAGATCAAGAAGCACTGAAGCTGATCTAAAAAATAAAATAAACCTCAAACTCCTATGAAAACAAGTAAAAGCTCATAAGTAACTCCAGCAGAACCTCTTCTGAAAGATAAATCCTCACACAGCCATGTGATGTCCATAGAAAATATGAAACAGTTTAAAGATTAATTCTGCTTACTTTTCAACATCATTGTGTTATGTGTTATTCTGTTATTTGCTTTGCTACTCCCTCCTTGACTACTCCTCTTTGCCATCTACTTTCTTAAAGCATAATGAAAGACATTTGGTAGGTCAAAAAGAGAATCATGCTTTTTAAACCTTATGTCTCAAAACTACAATTTCAAGGCATGGTCTAAAGATAAAATTATGTGAACCTGCATTTCTGATTTTAAAGTTTAGCATGAAGAACACGCTTCTGCTTGCTGAGCTACACACAGTATATGTAGAACTACAACATTACAGAAGATAAACTATTTAAAACACCTCAAATAAATGGTATGAAAGACTGTATTTCTAGATATACTTTGCAAAACATCCTTAGAATGCCATATATTAGACTCAAAATAAGATTCAAGGAGATAAAATAGTTTTTAAACACTGATTTGGTCCAGGTAACAAAACTATACTCCTAAATGAAAAAAATGCTTTTACCAGAGAATGAAGTTGAAGTTATTTGGTGAAATACTATCTTTCACCAACATTTCTTAAAGAAAAATGCATAAATTCCCGCATGTTGAGCTGTTATAAACAGAACTCTGTCAGTTACGTTAATTCGCCCATTGCAAGCACTTGTTTTGTGCCAAAGAAATATCCAGTCTATTATTCAGGGAAGTGCATTGCTTTCCACACAGTACAAGTCAACTTTCACCAGACTTATTGGTCATGAAATAGTGACTGATGCTTGTTCAAATGCTCTCTTACAAGGACACTTACTACAAGACTGACAGTTTATTACATTACATAAGCACCAGATACAGAAGTATTACAAATAAAAATTTTGCTTGATATGAATTATTTTCTTCCCATCCTATGACTTGTAGCTTAAACTCAGATATTCCTCCTGTTTCATTTACCCATCTTCCTCCTTCTCTTCTCTTACAGGGATTCCTTTTCTGACTTTGCAGACTGAAAAAAATCATATTGGTTTTGTTTCCTTTTCAAGACAAAATGTTCAGTTCCATAGCATCTAAGCAGGTTTTTTCTGCATTTGTTCTATATTGTGGGGGAGTTTTTATTAATTTTTTCCATTATGGTTGACAGTAACAACAGCCCTGTGGACTAATTCAGTAGTCAAAGGACAGGTGCCTTTTATTAGGCTCTGTAATCAAGCCAGCCTTCCTAGGTCTGCATACTCTCCTTATAGATTTATATATTTAAAAAAGCAATGCTTTTGCTTGTGTAGAGGCTAAACACTTTACTTTTTTGCCATTGGACCAGTGTATCAGTGGCTAACGAAATAAGCCTTTGTTTTTACCTTGAAAGAAAGTCCCACAGCCTTTTCCATTAATTTTATTATTGTCAAACAGAAGCCACTGTTTCCTGAAGCTCAACTTTTGAGCCTCACCAGTAGCTATATTTCGTTTTTAAGTAGTCTCTTGGGAAATTATAAAATTTATATTAGCTGAGAAAACAGTGACCATTCATTCAGATATTTATTTTCAAATATTTTATGCTAAAATGAATTTTTCTGAAGATTTTACAGTTTTGGTTGGAGTCCGAGGTCACCAATTAGTATTCAAATAGTTTTTATATCTCTGTAATAAAAGCTAGGTCCCTCAGAAGACATTGCTCTTGGCAGGTGATTTTGAAGTTTATAACATAGTTCCAGAAATGCTTTGTATTGACAGTCTTAAAAATGGTTTCAGGATCAGATTTTTAAAGGAGTTGAGGTGGCCAACTCTTACTACCCACAAAAGTAAATACTTTAGAAGTCTGGCCCTTTGCTCCTTGCAGAAACTTCAGCTTAGCTCTTTTACTTTTGTTATCATACATTGTTTCTATACACATACGTATTTCAAATTAGGATGAAAAATCCTGTAATTTTCAATAGCTAATCTATGCCTTCAAGAAACTTGATTTTTTAAAAGACCAATGTCATTAACTCTGAAACATCTACAAAGATGCTCAGAAAGCATCAGTCAATATGTGGGCTACACTTGCAAAAATAATTGCCATTTTGATAATTTGAATATTCCATAGCATACTTTTCAGGCAGAATGTTGGAAAATTTACTACTGGATAAGTACATAAGTTATGTTCTGACTGTTGACCAGAGAATATCCCAGATTTTTTAGGAAAAGTGAACAATGTTTCAGTGTACTAAGTCTTGCTAATGCACAAATTTAAGTACAACAAAAGGGAAAGTAAAGAGTATTGGCAGGGAAAAGCCAATACTCCACATACAGAACAGCATGTGCTCTAAACTAGCTACTGCTACTGTTATTTAGGGAAGTGTTTGCCAAGTTTTAATGAACAAGTATGGTCCAGAGGCTGTCCAGAAAAACAATCCCAATAATAGAATGGGCAACAAATAGGAAATTACGCCACCACTGAGATCCTTCTTGTGCCCCACATGGTGCAGCATGCAGTTTTGGTTCCCACATTACAGACACAGAAAAGCCATGCAAGATACAAAGACTTGAGACAAGGAAGACTATAAAGCTATGGAACAACTTCCATGTGAAGAATGATTAAGTAAATAGGATTCTTTATCCTCAAAAATGGACAACTGACAAGAGAACGGACAGAGGTCTAAGAAATTGGCCAGGGGAACCTGAGAAGGAACAAGAAGTCCTTCCCAATAAGGGCATTGAATAAATTAAGATGTCATGTATTGAAAATAAATGATAGTATATATTCCTAATTACAAACCAAACTCAGGTGTGGAATTCCTTTACATGGAATGCTGTGGGTGGCAAAAGTTTATGCAGGTTGAGTAATAAAAGAATTCACAAAGTGGAAGAAAAATCCCTCAAGAATTATTACATCCAAAATCACAGCCTAAAGATTAAGAGCAGGCTGTGGGGGCCACACAAGAGAAGTGTATTTATGTGCTTGCCCTCATGTACTCTGTGCTACACAAATGCTACTCTCAGAACAATGGACAGATTTTTGGTGTGGTCTTACACAAGATGTGTTACCAAATCACTTTCAGTTCAGCAGAGGCAAATAAAAAATTAACAAAAGAAAGTGCTGTATCAAAGTACATTTATACAACTTTTATTATATTAATCCCTGTATGCACTGAACTGAAAAGGTCAAAATTTCCACAAAAACTAAGTTGAGAATTGTAGCACCATAGCATATCTCAAGTAGTAAAGGACTCGTGGTTCATAGACTCCAACTCTCTTCTCCTCACATGACTGCCCCAAACAAAACCACATAACCAAAACAATCGTGCAGATGCTCCACGATCTCTGACAGGCTGTGACACTCCCTGGGGACCCCGTTTCAGTGAAGAACCTTTCCATAATGGCCAGTGTGATCTTCTCCTGATGCAGTTTCATTCCATCTGCTCATGCCCTACCAGCAGGCACAGAGAGAGGGGATCAGCACCAGCCCCTCTGCTTTCTCACTTGAGGAAGCTGTAGGCTGCCCTGAGGTCACCC